GGGAAAGGGAGGGGGAGGAAGAGGAGGGGGAAGGGGAGAAAGAAGAGGGAGGAAGGGGAGGAAGAAGAAGACCACGACGAGGGTGACATTTATTCTTTGAGAAAATATTAAGTTCCTTTCAAATTTCATCCAACTTGACATTAACGTCCCTCGATAACCCAGATGGGGTCCTTGGAATTCTCATTTATGTGGGCACCTAACAGCCTTTTCTTTAGCATGGCCAGTGAAGTAAAACAGGCCAAACAGAACTGCTTACAAAGTCAGGCTCAGTGAGAATTTGCAACCCAAGTAACTTCTCGTAGAGGAGCGATCGCATGATATTTACATACACACTTATTAAATTAACTCTTTTAACGTCAAGAGCAGCTCCACAAGGCTAGTATAGCCATTATTGCTATTGGATCCCATGGAGAGAGCAAGCAGTGGGAGAGTGGGACATGGTGAGGGGGTTCCACAGACTGAGACATTACAATATAGTTGGAAAGGCCCAATATTCATCCTAAAGTCTTGTTATTTGAATTGTCGCGAAATTATGTCACTGCTACCTTCAAGTAATTTTCCTGCCACTACCTAGAATTTCTCTTTCCTACTACCATCAACGATGGTGTTCATACAGTTTATGTGCATGTAAATGACCATATTACTCACATCGATTTTCCTGTATTCAGATTTAGGGAATGTCAGATAAACAGCCATGTCCAAAATAATGACAGCAATTCTGCTCATTTAAATGGAGATACAAAATTCTATTTTCATGAAATTGTCACCTTTCCTAAGCTTTAGAGAAGATGCTACTAAAATGACCCTTTATCTACATGATTTTTTCCAAAGTCTAGTAAAAGCAACAGCTCTAATGATCTGATCAAGTAGATTATTCTTCAGCATCGCATAGAGGACACGAGTCCCCGTGAGTCAACCAGGACAGAGGTTTGCAAGCCTCTGCACCACAGCATTAGTCTGCGTGTGTATGTGATGGAGATGATACGTAGCATGAGGTGATAAATGCAGATATGGGGAAATGTTGGACAATTTGGTGAGCCAAGAGCCTATGTTCCTTTTGCACAGGATTTCTCAGAGAAAAATTCTTACACCTGAAAGACTGGGAATCCATAGACTAAATCATCCCTGAGAAACCTTATACGTTTGGGGTATGAAATTAACTGAAGTTACTAAGGTATGTCTACCACATTAGCCAATATATCAGAATAAGTTAAATAAAATAACCTACCAAATAAAGCATTTTATTTCTTTTCAGGAATTCTAGCACCTTGCTTATGGAAGTCTTGTTCTCATTAAGCAAAGCTTTCAGATTCTACTATTCTGCTAAGAAGTAATCTAAATTTATATTATTTTTTATCACAGTAATCTTGATAAACCTTCATTATCACCTTGCACACACAAAGGTGCATATATCCACACATGCATGCACACTCACATGTACTCTTGCTTTTTCCCACCTATTTCAGAGGAAATATAGTTTAAGAGGGAAAACTATAAAAAATGACAGACAGCATCAGGGTGAAAGCAGAGCCATATTCCTCATTTACACTTGAACAAGTCAGTATGGTAGGACACCTCCTCTGCATGGACATTACGCAGTGTTCCACCTGAACACACGTGAGTCAGAGAAAAGCAACACTTCCCCTGAGCAGGTTACACATTTCCCTTTAACGGAAAGTTCATGTTCCCTCTAATTCCTCAGGTTACTTTGTTAATGTCTCTTCTGGTAATAAAAACCTGATTTCAGGAGGGATTTCCAATAAAGGCATTTAGGGCGATCTTTCTTATGAATTATTTTTCAACTTCTGATTCTAAAAGAACCTCTTTTGTATTTTCTACATTGAACTCAATGAAAAACTCAGACTTTCCATTCAACCAGCAAGTCATTACACTTCCAAAGCATGTCCACGCTAACCACCTCTCCGGCTGCCCCTGTGGCCAGAAACCTCAGCTTGAGCAGTCGGCACCCAGGGTCTTTTATTGCAGAGTCGTAGTTCTTTCATGTTGAACACAGACCACGTAGCTACTACTGAAATCCAAAGCGAATTCAGGTCCTCATATAGCAACCAAGAGTCAGCACGAACAGCAGCAGCTTCCCCACATTTAAACTCCTAAAGTTATTTCACTCCTTCACTTTTTTTTAGGGCATAAGAATATTTACTTCATGCCCAGCCAGGCGTGGCTCAGCGGTTGAGCATCGACCCAGGATCCAGGAGATCGGGATTCGATTCCCCGTCAGGGCACAGGCCCGGGTTTCGGGCTCGATACCCAGCAGGGGGCGTGTAGGAGGCAGCCGATCACTGACTCTCTCATCATTGATGTTTCTATCTCTCTCCCTCTCTCTCTCTCTCTCCTTCCCTCTCTCTGAAATCAATAAAAATATATATATTTTTTTAAAAGAATATTTACTTCACATTGTTCTCCAATGTCTTTCTTTCTTAGGGTCACAGGCCAAGGGAAGGGCATTGACCTAGCACAGCGTGCTGCTCCCTGCAGTGTCCCACAGCTGTTTCTCACCTCACTAAATGCCCATCTCTCCAGAGGCCCTTTTTGTTCCGATCTTCAGGTGATTAGACGTCTGTCTCAGATACAAAAATCTGTGCAGGGTCTAATCCACTTATATACACAGTGATAAAGGCTTTTCCGTTTTTCCCCAAAGAAACATGCAATTCAAGCTGTGAGCTAGGCCAGGCCGCTGTTTTGAGGTCCTGCTACAGAATCGTGCTCTTATCTCCAAATGTTGAGACGGAAATTTTGGTATTGCATGTGGCTGGATAGCAAAGATGCACAGTAGGCTGTTTTCCAAGCCTTGGAAACTGAGGTTTCCTAACGCCAGAGTCATAAGCCTGAGCATGAGCCAAGTTTTCTTGAGGCATATCTGTAAAAAAGTTCAAGGGGGCACTATAAAACAACAGTTCGTGGAACAACTGTAATGTACAATGACTGTTTACAGTAATGAGGCACTAAGGAAATGTTTGCTTGAATTAGGCCAGTCCAAACAAAAACATGTTATTTTGTCATGTGCCACATGAGTGACTCAGTATCTGGGCAATGCCTTGTTAATATTATGATGAGAAATTCAAACATGAGTTGCCCATTTGGAGTGCGTTTTTGAAAACACACAGATGCCAAAACTACTGTTCAATCAAACAAGTTCAAGTTCATAAATCTCTCTGTGGAAAAGAGGTGCTATTTGATAACAGCTTTCCAAATTGAAACTACTCAAAAGCTCGTAGGCTTGAATTTATTTAAATCAGCTTTTGGGTTGTTTTTCTTCCATAATCAGTTTCTAATCATAACATTTTTAACTGGTTTAAATATACTGAATTCAGGATTCCAAATATAAAACCAACTAAACATCCTAATTAAGGCAACTTCAGACAATTCAGGTCAAAAGCTTCCTCTATTGCAGGGGTGGAGAATGTCTGGCCCATGAAATCATATGGTCTGGTCCTGCCAAGGTGGGACTCGAAATTCAATAAATCTAGGAGCTTTTTTCATAGCTAATTTTTAAGCTGATAATTTTGTATGGCCCACAAATGATGTTATAAATATCCAAATGGCCCTTGGCAGAAAAAAGGTTCCCCACCCTGTTCTATTGAGTAACCTGATGAAGGCAGAGTGGGTTTTGAATTTGGGTAATGGTCTTATTTCCCACTTAAATTTGTTCCTATATATCTGGTTGAAGTTCAATTTTTTTCACGAGGAATACTTAGCACAGGAGGTTTTACTTACAAATCCTAAGCCACCACAGCATGAAAAGCTATATAAAGCCATTATCCAATGAATCTGAGATATGGAAACATCCAAACTGAATCAATTAGGTTTGAAATTTTTTATTATAATTAAGGGTTATTTGTTATTATATGACACATCTATTTAAACAGTTCCACGATCAATGCACAATCCAAATTAAAAAGGTACTATGAAGACACACCAGGCCTACCAGTCACGTCAATATTAGCAGTTAATTAGAAAATAGCATCACAAAGCCACAGACTTTAAATTCCAATGTGAAACCAATCCAGTTGGTTAGGGAATTAATGAAAATGTTTTTGAAAATCTGTTTTTATAAAATAATGAAGCTTTTCAAATCATAAAGCTACATATGTTGTATGTGAAAGATGAGCCGGGGGTTACTTAGGCTGGGAAAATGGCAAATGCCAATGGACTACCAACCAGTTTGAAACAGGTGCAAGGAATTTATGTCCACTATTCCCAACTACACAGTTTCCTGGATGACCTGTATGTTAGTAAATGTATCTCAGAATGCTTGCCCCTAAATGCTAGATTGTCTTCTGTTAAAGAGCTTTCACTCTGTTCTCACTGGTGCATGTGAATTCCTTCCAATTTCATGATTCCGCACTTGCCTGATGATAACATTGGAGTTTCCGTGTTTCTTCTTTTCTGACCCAGTTGTGAATAAAAATATTTATTTCTCTCAGTCTTACTGTTAAAACTTGTAGCAGGAACTCAAAACTTGGTTATGTAAGCAGAAAAGAGAAGTGCCAGAGCCACTGAGAAGAAGGCATGCGGCGTTGCTTACTTAAATCCCCATCCTGTGCCCCCAAGGACAATAGCTGCTACCAGGATGGCACCAGCGATGGAGCCTATTATGAGATTGGTGGCACTAGGACCTGTGACAAAGGATCATGGGAAGAAAGTCATATGAGCCAACCACTTTCGTTACCACAAGGGAAAGGCAGTTAAGCGGTTTCAGGAAGTCAATACCCTGCATAAAAGATTGCTAAACACACAAATCACCTTTACTGACTAGCTTAATTTCACTTTCCGTGCTGTGGGTAGCTGCTGGTGGGATCTGAATGCCTTTACATCTAAAGCTTCTGCACCATTGACAGTTAAGTTCCATTCCATTCACCTTTCACAGAATGTGAAGCAAAGGGGCCCCAAATGCTGTCAGTGCCCGTCTTTCTCCTCCCCTTTCCCACTATCACGAACCAAACGAGTAAAGCGCGTAAAGTGCACCACTGCATTAACTGAGCTCACCCCGCGGCAAAGAGGGCACGACAGGAAGGAAACATAATCTACCCGAGCGTCCTTGCAAGCAGCACAGAAAGTTGTCTGAACGCTAAATGTTTTCTCCCCCGCTGGGAGACAGTTAAAATTCAGAGGTCAGGAGGCGGGTACCAATAGAGATCTGACTTGAAGCCTTGTTCTGAAAGATATATTTCTTCACTGCACGGACCAGTATAGTGCGTTAAAAGCAGCGCGGGGTTCCAAAGGCAAGATATAAAGAAAGCGTAAAACTCATTTGGGTAATTTTAGGGAAATGGAAAAAAGAAAGCGGAGTTGCTATCGACTGTTTGAGGAAGGGTTGACCCTCCCCACTCACAGAGAAAACACCTGGGCTCACGCTTTTCAAATGTCAGCAACATTCACTTTAGTACAAGGATTATTTTAAATGTCACATTTTACAGGATGCTAATATGCAGGTACAGCGCCCCCTAATGGCAAAAGATTTTCTGGCCTAACTTTATGTCCCTGTTCCCGAAGTCACAGGGCCAATTTTGGTAGTTGCCCTAAAATCCTTGGGTTTGTATGCATTCATTGCTGTGTAAAAATTCTCTTTTCTGCTCACATTAGTGCCCTCGACTGTGTACATAAATGGATGCCACTTGTAGCAGCACTAAAATTGTGTGCCACGTCATGTTTTTACTCAGCGACCAACAAGTGCTTGTGGGTGCGATGGAAAGGTGGAGGACAGTTATGAGAGCTCAGCAATGTGGTCTCTTCAGGCTTCTGGGTTTGGACACACTGAGGTTCTCTACAGAACACAAATCTCAGTGGCCTTTAGAATCACCCATAATAATAAATAATGAGAGCAGTAAAAGCAGGTTCACTACTATACACTATGTCCTTACTATGTGGGGGCACTTTTAAGCACTTGACATTATCTCACTTGATCCTCACAAAACCATAAAAGGTAGGGACTAGGACTACCCCTGTTTAATAGATGGAGAAATAGAGGCTTCTAGAAGTCAACATGTGACGAGGGCAAAATTCGAACCCAGATTTGTTAGACTCTGAAGTTTATGGCATACACCAAGGGTCAGCAAACTACATTCCACAGGCCAAATCTGGCCCTGCTGACTGTGCTTTCAAAGAAACTTTATTGGAACACAGCCACGCTCATTCACGTCCATACGGCTGACGGCTGCTTTTATGCTAAGACAGCAGTCACACAGTTGTGACAGACATCCTGTCGCCTGCAAACTATTTACCATCTGGCTTTTTACAGAGTTCGCTAAGCCCTGCGCTAACAAAACATTATTCCATATGTATGAATTTCTTCCTCACAGCTTAATAGGGAATCAGATTTTAAAACAAACATTTAAAAATGTTTATATTGCCATATACATAATCTATGCTTTAGACACGATTTGCACATTACTAGCTCAGAAAACAGGCTGGAATTAGAATCAATACATAACCCATGAGAAATGATTCCTGACTTACAGTGATAAACTAAGGAGGAAAAATAAAGGCAAAACAAAACAAGGCCTCTGCCCCTGGAGTCCTTAGTGATGAAATGACATTTCATTACACCCCCAGTTAAACTAGGAAGTGTTAAAACTACATTGTACTGTGTGGATCTTATTTTTTTAACTGTATTTACTTTTTTAGCAACTACGGCAAAATTTAGAATTTAAAGGAAAATTAATCAGTAAACTAATAGACAAAAACATTGTATAAACCAAGAGTAATAACATCTATTTTTAGAAAAATATATAATACACTTATACAGACTTACCTGTCACAACCAGAAATAGCCACAAACCAACAACACTGGAAGGGATGGATGACAGGACTGTGCTTACAACAAAGGTCTGGATTCTGCCTAGCTCTAAGACTCAATGGGAAAATTATTAAAATTCGCCCCTTCAGTTAGCACAGTCAATAAGTTATATAAAAAATGGAAGCGGAATGGTTTCTTAAAATGACCTTCCTTCCAAGGAGGAATTTCACATAAACGTATGTGTGGAATTTTCCCTGGAAAAGAAACATAACTTTTGTACATAATCCAGTCAACAGACCCAAGGTGAAATTTTATACGAGCTCGTTTTTTCTAAATAGTTATTTCTTATATACTTCATTTTCTAGTAGGAATAGAGAAACAAAATATTTTTTCAAGTATTTCTAGCTTCCCCGGGGTTAACTAGCTTCACAGTCCAGACTGGTGGGACGTGAATTAGAAGATCCACATCTAGTGAAAGCCCTCCAATCCAGGGGAGAAGGCGAAGGTAATCAGCACAGCTTGTGACCTATGGACCACCCTCTCAGTGCTGTTTCGGTCCTGGGTCTCCCAGGCCCAGTATGAAAGGAGAGCATCTGTGTGTTGATGGGACTAAGGAGGAATGTGTGTGATGTTCTCAGGTTGAGTGGAAGGTGTCTGGTGATTCCATAAGATACTAGTCATTTGTCCCTGGGCTGCTGTGAAGTGTTATCACCACCACGGTGAGTAGAAAAGACGGCATGTAAAGGAGTGTTTTTGTTACTTGCAAATGCTCTCTCCAGAATTAGAGGGGGGGAAATCATGATAATCTTTCAGTCTGCAGATTAGCAATCTCATGAAAGCAATAGCCCATGGAGAACTGACAGTTATTCTGAGGACGTGGCTCAAGTGCAGAGCAACCTAAATAAAGGCACCAGGAAAGCTGTTTTTCTGTGAGGGCTCAACGGGCAAGTGGCACGCAGGTCATGGTTACACACTCACTGCTGAAGACAAACGCACCAGATAATTTTCAACTGTTCACTTAAAGTTTTGCAGGTTTGGATTAAGTATATCTTCATTCTTAATGCTGCTTGCTCCCAAATACTTATATAAACTTCAAATTTGAATTATTAACCTATTTTATAAGAAGAAAACGCAATATCCTAAATACCTTCTTTTTAAAAATAAATTAAAATTAAGCTAAAGTCTCTTATATCACTCTCAATCAATGGAGAAAATATTAGTGCAAAATATTTCTCTCATTCAGTTTATATTTAAAAAGAGCTGCAACTGTTGATATTCCTAGTTGTATATGTGAATATATTTGAATGGTGATTAAATTTGTTATAAGAGTCCTAATAAAACACTCATATAAAAGCATTTTTGTCAATAAAATAGTAAAAACAAAAAGGTCTGTGTCTTAACATTACTTTTACAAGTGGAGGAGCAATGGAAACTTTTGGACCATCGCCTCCATTGTGAAGACATCGTCAGCACCCAGTGTTATTTCATGCCCCACATTGTTCCAGACAGGAGAAGGTTCTCCAGTGCACGAGAAAACCACACGACACAAACACGTCCAAATCACAGCACAAGTAGCACTACCACGGGAAACACGTCAACGAGACAACACAGGGAGTCAGGGACCGGGGGTCAGTCACACACCGGGACCAAACAGAAACACTCTGAAACTCAAAAAGATGCTTACTCTATTCCCCACCCTGTGCCTCCAAAAATCACCCCCAGGGCCAGAATGGTGCCTGCCACAGCACCTATTAGCCTGCTTGTGGCCATGTTCACTGTGCGGAGGGAGAAACGGAGATTGTTTTTAACAAAGGAAGTTAATTACACACTGATTTCACTAACATACAAAATCACCTCTTCAGGAAATGCTTTCAAAGTTAAATATTAAAATCTTTGTTCAATGACTTGACATTAAGCTCTATATACACATGGAAAATATTCAAGGACAATTTTAAATTTACCTTCCATCTCCAAAAACCCTACTTAAAAACATAAGCTCTTAAACTTTTAAACAGGTAAATAATCCTATTGGAGTTATAGTTCCTATAAAGAGTGAGGTCAAATTAAAATGTAATTTAAACTGCAGAACAGCAAATCTATATTTTAATTACAAAAGCTATAAACCATTAGTATACTTTTTTTAAAGAATCCTCAAACTAGAAAATATGCCTAAGAAGCTACATCTTTTTTAAATCCAGAACTTACTCAATTCAGTGAAAATCCTTACAAATTTAAAAAGAGAGTATCTTTAAAATTAAAAGCATTGTTACCTGGGAAATTATTTTACCTGGAAAAGTATATTTCAAATAACCCTGCAATGTTTGTGTTTCTGCCACAGTATTTGGACATTCAGTTTTTTGTTTATAGTCTGCAGTGTATAAACTTTGCATTGAGAGAAAGTAAGGATCTCTGGCAAGTGTATTAAATCCTTCAGACCACCAAGTAGTAAATTACTGAGGAGCCGTCACCGCTTCTGTGCACAGCCTTCATTGCAAAATGGCCCTGGAACGAGACCAAGCCCCCAGGGTTCTCTCTGCACAGGGAAGAAGGAGTTTAGTGTTGAAGCAGGAAGGCAGAATATTTAGGGTTGAGTGTGTCTGTGTGTCTGTATGTGTGCGTGCAAACGTGTGGACACATAGGCACTTCATCTCACTTTCCAACCAGATGGAAACTACTGGCTTCCTACAGCTTTGCCAATGAAAGCAGAGATGAGTGTCACAGGCTGCATTCACCCAGACTGTGCCACGAGGCACAGTGAGACAAAGCAGAGGACCACGACTGGAAGCTGCAACTTCTTAAGGCGTAATATTGGGATCACTGACCTCTTCAGCTAAATATTATCCCAGAGGAGAGAGAACCTTCCATCTCTAACCCACGTGACCAACTGTATAATTACTTTCTTTTACCCCAGGGCAAATCATATGCATGAAAGAGTCTAGTTTCATCATTAACTAAGCACAACCGGAGTTGTTCTTCTAAAAAAAAAAAAAAATAGATGGGGACACAACAGAAAACAGAGAAAGGCTACTACTGAGAATGCAGGGGAAAGGAAAAAAGACCAACATATAAGGTGGTGGTAATGTTTTCCAAATACGACAATAACAATGCAAAATAGCCTAAACCATAGCTCAAGATTTCTAAATTGTAGAGGCAAATATTGGGATGAAAGGTATGCCGGATATAATGCCTCATTTTCTTTCTAAGACCTTAGAAAATACTTGCTTTCAGAATACTAAGTTAGCTAGGATACATCATGTTAAAAAAAAATTTTTTGCTTAAGTTTTAGGCATTGGCTCTCAAAGTCAAGATACCTAAGAGTCCTATTACCTCGTCAATTTTTATATAAGCCACATATTGCCAAATTATAGGAAACACACTCCTGTAAAATGTGATGCTGAATGAAAATTTGTTAATATTTTTAAAATTATAGTAGCTGTATGAATGATGAATAAAAATAACTATTTAATACGGCTTTTGTATTTGCTAAGGATGTAACTTACTACTGCGGAATCCAGAGAATTAGGCAATTGGCCGTGTAGGTGTCAGAAACGCAGCGAGAGGAACGAGACATTTCCACAAATGCTTCAGGTATGTACTCAAGACAAACAGACAGTGTGCAGTCGCCACAGAGAAAGAAAATTACCTCCATATGGTTACCCGGTAAGTAGGTACTCTTAACCTCAAAGCACGATGAAAGCAGAAATAGCTTCTTCCAAAGGAGCCTCACCCCTCCGTGTTCTCCCTCCCTCCCGTGACTTCAAATTCTGGCACTGAAAATATCTGTGAAATCCATTTGGTTCTTTATCAGGACACTGAGCAGAGTCCTCTCTTCCAGTAGGTAGTTTCTCGATCTGTTTTCAGACCGACATGAATTAATGGAGCGGCTCACAGGCAGGCAGATTTTGACAGGGGCCGTGCTTGCAAACTGAGGTCTCAGCTGTTCTTCGCCGCTACCAAGAACTTATCTCATCGGAAGGAAATTCCTTGGACCTTGGAGGGCTATGCTCTGGTCTTACTTCTGTACTAATTTATTTATTACGTAACTGTATTTGTTCACTCATTCATTCATTGTCTACTAACTGCCTGTTTCTTCCAGGACCTATGCTGGGCACCAAGCCTTCGCCCCACCAGGCCTGAAGATGGAACCCTTACAGGGTCTAGGTAGTAAGGCGCTCATCCTGTCAGACCTTCGCTCTGCGCCCTCACTCTCTGACACACTACCTTTCATTGTAACTTGATCGATTGTGAAATCTGTTCATTACCTGGCAGTACGTTTTCATTTTTGTTTCCTTCTTTATTTTGTTGTTTGTTGGTTTGTTATTATTACTTTTAGTATTGGCCCCTGCTATCTAGGTCCACAAGTGCTCAAAGGCAGAATTTTTGAGTATATAGTAGCAAGAATAAAACTATGAATTTTCTTCTTTTCTTAAGAATTTCTATTTGATATGTGGAATTCTTCCACAGACAAGGCATGCTTCAGATATTCTGACACTGTGTTTTAGAAACTAAGAGGTTATTTTTTTTCTTTTCCTTTCTTACTTTTTAGAGAGTTTCTGAAACAGAAAGATGCATTATTTAATCCACGTGATTCCAATGAGCCAAAAGGGGCTATAATCCTATATCCCTTAGTACTTCAAAGACAGGAGGCATCAAAGCCATCATTTCTACTCTATGGACCAAAGTTCTTTCTGCAGGGATTTATTATTTTGCTAAAATTTAAGATTTGAAATAAATACTAAATATATTCTTTATACTTTAGAATTTCATATTGGCACTACAAACAAGTATTTTATCTAGCTCCATAATTCAATATGTCAGACATACACTCAGGTGTCCTTACTCTTTCCCAAGAAATAATGATAATAAAAAGTTCATTTGGGGATACATAGAGACAAATATCTAAAGGAATGAAAAACAAATTATTTTATATAAGAATATTAATTCAGTCAGTTTAGCTGTCAATAAAAATATCATGGCATTTTTCTGAACCCAAACAAAATAAACTCACAGTTATTGAAAATTTTTTAAATTTGGTAAATCCTTACATTATTCATGAGGCTATTGTGAGTGAGAAAAATACCTAAGTGAGTTATAAGCAAACACGAGCATAATCATATATGATAATCATAACATCTCATATCTAATCACTTGAACTACAAAATCACAGATTTGTGCACTTACAAAGGAAGTCAGCTTTTAAAAAGATATATGCAGAAGGTAAACTAAACATTAACTATTACTCCTCAAGGTATTAAGACATAAATTGTTGTTTTCAAAATACTAAATGCTAATAATATAGCACTCCCCTCCACAAGTAATGTGTCAGCTGAGTTTAATCATTACTTGGTCACTGTTTCACTCTTTGTACTTATTACGGTGCTATAATAACCAGCATAAAATAAGTTAATACATGCTCAGCTCTAAATGAGGCGGTGTGCGGAAACAGAAAAAGCACTGAGCTCCAGACCAGATATCTACCTTTTATTCTTGGCTCTGCCCATACCTATCTGTTAACTCTGATAATTAAGCTGGTTTTCTCACATGTAAAACAATGGGTCTGGACTAAATTGCCACTAAGGCCTTAGGATCTCTGATTTGATGACTACAGGCATGATAAAAGGGTCTGAACAAAACCTCCAGGGAACACCCTCTGGATCTTTAAGAGGATCACAGGCATGCTATGGATAGAACATTTGGAAAAAATGAACCTCTGCATCTTTTGTCAGAGTGTAAACCTTCTCTAAATCTAACTTCTGAAAGTATATCCAAGAATTTTTTGTTCTAGTTTTAAAGTAGCAAAAGACTACATGTAAAAGTGGAATTGGTTCATTTTTAGTAATAAACGAAGACCAGAAATAGACCATAAGGGTATGATTATGATTCTTAGAGAATTTTAATATCATGGGCATATTAAGCAAATGTATGAAAAGTGTTTTAACATACCCATTATTACTGAACATTAAGCATGCACTTGAATCAGCCTAAATCTCTTCAGGAATTGAGGGCTTTCATATGAGGAATTCATATGCTTTTGAAGTCGTATTTCCCCATATGAGCGATACTGAAGTTCAGAGAGTTTAAAAGAGCTTTTATCCAAAACTAAGCAGATCAAAATGACACTATTTCTATATGTGTTTTTCCTACCTGCAGGAAAAAAGCATGAAAATTATAAGACACTGTTAGCAGTACCATGAGGATGTACGTATGATGTCACTGGGATACGCCAATCATTCTAGTGACTCGTTGGCTTCTCAGGTATGTACAGTGCTATAGGTGCTACCGTAAGCCTATTGCAACTGCTGACTTTTCTTGTTCTTTGAAAATCATATGATGGGTTGGGACTAGAGAGAATAGTGGCATAGTGATTACCATATTTAGGATGACACAGACAACATTATAGCATTATGTAACAGAAGAGAACGGGCCTGATATCGGGCACTTGGGTCCCGGTCCCAGCCCTGCCTCTGGTTACCTGGGTAAGCAGAGCACGTCACCAGACCTCAGGGCCTGGGTGCTCTCATCCACAAAATGAGGGTGGTATCAGTTGGTCACCGAGACTCATTCTAATTCTAAAATTCTAATTTCTCTCCTTCTAATGGCTGAATAAAACAAAGGTCCAGATCTCGCATGCTTTCTTTGAAGAATTCGAGTTCCATGAAAAACTCCAACATCTTCCTAAGTCAAAAGTGCATTTAAAACACAGCACGGAAGACGACAACTGCCATGCCCCTCACTTTTCAAGTACTAAGGAATGGCCAGAGTCGCATGTCATTCAAAAAGATTTATCTATTAGAAAACTGGCATAGCTTAGACAAACTATAAAATCATTAACATTGTGATTATGAAAAAAAGGGTGAGGTTTCAAGGAAAGAAAGGAAGTTGGTATATTTACTCACTTCTTCCTAATCTCCATTCTAGACTAAAGGATAATAAATATTTTTCAATATGATATACTAGAATGAAGTAACATGACCTATACATTTTAATGGCTAAAAACTGTGTCCCCTTTCAAACTTATTAAGTTGTTTTATTGGCTCCATCAGAAGAATACCAATGAATTCAGTGTGCTGGGAATTGAAACTGAAATCACACAAACCCTTGGGTCCTTCATCCTTGGAGGAAGGAAGGTTCCTAACCGGATCCCGGATACTGCAGTCTGTTCCTGCCCAGGTGAAGTCACAGATGCAGGTGGCTTCATTACTACACACCTGTGAAGAACAAACAACAGACATGGAACATCTTCACTGCGCTCTGCGGAACACTGCTGATAGACGTGAAAGAGACATGGGCCAGGCAGACACTTAAAAACCATTTGGCATTTTTTAAAAGTCTCCCACAGTTTCAGGTGCTGGACAAGAGGAAACCATGTATGGGTCAGGTAGCTGAATGGTGGTTTTTCAGTTAATTAACAACAACAAAAAGATGAAAAGGAAGAAAATTTTCAACTAAATACTAATTATTGATGTTGTTATTATTTAAGTACACAAATGTCTCACAATGTAGTTTATTTTATAAGTAGTCGTCTCTACAACCATATTTTAGAAATATATATGCTTAATTCAAGGAATGAATAGATACTGGGCTCAAGAGGCATTGACAGAGATAAAGACCAGGAGACATAAATCACCAATGCACTGCAAGACCTCACCACACTCAACGCCAGATTCATTTGGTGACACTTTTTCAGCCAAACGAGCACCCTTCCCACCTTCCCTGCCTGTCCTTAGTAGCTCTTCTCTCAGTCAGGGTCTTCTCTCAGTAAGACCCTCCGAAAGTGACTGTCTCCTCTCTCGTACTCTAGGGACCAAGCAGCAGGCTGGAATGGACTTGCAATTTAGACAAAATAAAGAACCGTCTGCAAACTAGAGGCAAGGTGGTTTGCACCCTTATCTGCCTGTGAAATACACTCAGAGACGGGTTATTAAAAGTGATAAAATCAAACTTAAGCCTATTGGTGTAAGAAGTTTTTTAATCGGAAATGTTAGAATACTGTGATTATGGTTAACAAGATTGAATTTGGCCTTTTTTTTTAACAAGGCAAAAAAGTGGAAGGAGAGTAAAGTCAAGGGCCCTTTCACTGCATTAAGTTTTATAACGCGCACGAAGCAAGATCTAAATAATGAAAGGGTCTGCCCCGTGCTTTTCTTTTCACGCAGCAATTACTGAGCATTTTCTCTGTGCTAGGCACCTATGCTAAGTGTTCAATGCCCAGCATCTCATTTATATTCACACAAGCACCCTGATGAATGACAGAGGTTAACTGGCTTGCCCAGAGTCACTGGGGTAGCAGGTTACGCTATGTTAGCCAGGTGTGTCTGCCCAAACACTTTGTTCACAGAATTAAAGATACACACCAGTAGAGGGAGCATCTGCTCTTTGACTGGCAATGATGCAACCGTAACCACAGAACTGTAACATGTGGATTACATCAGTGATCCAATCTTTAGTCGGGTGTGACTTTGCACACACAGATGCCCAGCATGCATGCTGAGCAGCTGAAAGGGACTTACTGAGAGGGCTTAACTTATTTCAAATGGTACAAAGTAATCACATTGGGTCTTCACAGAAAATCGTATCAATCTCTTCCAACTCCTTAGATGTTAAGCTATAGCTAGAGAATGTGGTGATACAAATAGCCAGTGATAAAAGAAGCAGTAAAAATACACCATATCAATACATACGGATGTGACTGTTAACAGATAAGACTAAGAAAATAATCATAGTCGACACGCAGATACTGGCAATAGCCACAGAGGGAAAGTGGCTGAACTGGCGATCTAGCCACTGTGAACTCTGAGGATGCCGGATAATGAAGGTTGAACTGGAGCACGGGGGCCTACTTACCCCATGGCCCGAACAGACTTTACCCTTGGAATCGAGTGGGCAGCTGCTCATATTCAGGGCCTGAATCTGTAGGCACTTCCGATCCAAACACATCATGGATGGGCCACAGGGCGTTCCATCTTCCACGTAGCCCACATCCGTGTCATCATCTAACACCACATGAGCACCACTAAAGGGAGAAAGATATTCGCACAGCCATCAGCCCCATACTCGGAAAATAACCTCAACACGAGCGAGCCTTGCTCTTCATGACACTGAAAAGGCTGTCCTTGGACATGGATTTCTCCACTTTCCCCTTCCCTTCCTCCTTTCCCCACCTTCCCTTAATAAAAGGGCATGACAAAAGAAACTACTTTTTATCACTATACCACACATCATCAGGAGAAAAGGTGTCATTTGTACCAAGTGAATTCTAAATCTTCACTTGTTTTCAAGACCAACATTGCGGCGAGGACAGTGCATAAGAGAAGCGATCTCATGAGCTCTCCACAGCTTTCAGATGTGCCATAGTACAAAAAGGCAGATGTTGAGCAAAAATAGCAATAAAGACATTTTGAAAATTATTATTGGATTACTCATGATTGAAAAATAAACTGGTTCCTCTCTATTGATATTTACTCCTGAAATTTCAAAGCTAGAAACAAGTTGAATTTCAGTAATAATCAATGCTATAATTGCTAATAGAGTACCTCGCCGAATAGTTTACAGATATACCAATTTAGAATATAACAATATAACTTAACAAGGCTGTTATACCTAGAGACATGTGAAAACTTACATATTCAAAGGAAGCTTGTATCCATCAAACTATATCTGAAGGCAATAAACTTATTCCAGGAAGGATCTTCCTGTCTAAGACCCTGTTAGAATTGCCTTCAGAGCCATTTAAAAGACAGAAAAACAGCAATCATTTGACCAAAACAGCATTGTCCAATTTGGTTACTCAAATAACCAAATGTTGCTCAAAATTATTTTTGGACGTTTCCCGGTCTTACATTCACTCGCATAAGATAAGGTTTGCTACTCTGGGGATACTAAGGATAAAAGTTAGCAGATGCTAAAGGCAATTCTGTAGGGGAAATCCCAAAAGTGTTTTAAGCAATGACAATACCATCTGAATGAGGCCACCGCATCTTAGAATTACGACTACTTTGAAGGGAATGATGATTATTTAGAATATTATGCAACTCCCTGGCTTAAAAAATAAGCCTCATATTTCTGTGCCTGTACTCATAGGTAATTGGAAATCAAATGTTTGCCTACAGCTATAAATAATATTTTAATAAATATTTTCTATATGTGATTAAGTATTTATTAAACCATCTTCTAAACCAGACACATCTGCATGAAGTAAAGTCTAAATTCCTTGTCATAAAAAATAAAACATACACAGTGTTCAAACAGTTCAAGCATATTCCAATGCTTAAAACTTTAATTGTGGGTCAAAACATATAACCTAATTCTACTCTTAAGATTATAATTACAAGGAATGCCTCACTACTAATAACTGGTACAATTTTTGAACAAATGTAATTTGCAATTCTAGATACAACTTTGTTTTTTAAATAACTTAACATGAAAGGTGATAATAAATCTCAGTCAAAATTCCTTTTGTGAGAAATAGAAAAATTCCCCTTAATATTTCTAAATTTGTAATTCTTATTATTTAGGTTTTCCAATATTTAATATGTTACCTGCAGTCAATCACCCGGCCTTGATGATAGAAGGAAGTTGGGATGATCTCTCCCTGAAGTTGACCAATACGTGGAGCTCGAGTAAGATTGGTACAGAGTAAAAATCCACAGAACACATCACTAAACATGTTTAAAAAAAAAAGACGGTAAGATAGGAGGAACCATGCTCAAAAAATCAAAACTACTTAGTCCATATATATTCAAAATAAGAAAATATTCTCTTTCCTTCTAAACAAAAACACTCGATCAAATATTGTTGGTTGGCCACGATGCCCCTCCTTCCTTACAAACAGGATCACAATTTTGCTTGTGGGTAGCAAAGTGCTCAGCCCTGAAAGATGGTTGTGACTGGTGTCTTGGCTACTCACTCACTTCCATTTCCTACACCCTCTTTCCTAGCCATCCCTCCTTCTTATCCTCCTAGAGCTGAAAGTGGCCCTGGGTGTTGAGAAGTGAGGAAAGCTGGCTAGGAAGCCTCTGGGGAGAATTTTGCTTTCTGGATAAAAGGTTAGAATCAGACAGGAAGATCACTGTTCCTACCCCTGCCTCCTGCTTTGAATGTGGAGCCTTTACATCTAACTTGCAACTGTTAAGTTCACAAGCATAAGGATACAAACTCAACATGCAACGGATTACAGAGCAGAGGGGCAGAAATCATCTGGGTTCTTAATGACATTATTAAATGGCTCACCCATCATGACAGCACCTACCTCCAGCCTATTTGTTAAGCAAACAATAAATTTCAAAAAAAAAAAAATGGGCTAAGAATAGAATGGGCACATCCCAAAGAAAGGAAATCCATTGTCCAAAAAAGGCATGAAAATGTACTAAATTCCATTTGTAATCAGGGAAATGCAAATTAAAACCACAATCATACAGCAGTTCACACCCACCAGAATAGATAAAAGTAAAAAGCCTATAATACCAAACATCGGTGAGAATGTAGCACAAAATTCTCATATACATATTATTGCTGGTAGGGTTACTAGTATAACCATTTTAAAAAGAGAACAGTGTGACACCACTTGGTGGCACTGAAAATATACATCTGAAGACTTAGTAATTTTTCTTCAAGGCACGGGCCTTAGATAAATGTGTGCAGATGTGCACTGAGTTGCACGTAAAGAATGTTCACAGCCCGGCCAGCGTGGCTCAGCGGTTGAGCGTCGACCTAGGATCCAGGAGATCGGGGTTCGATTCCCGGTCAGGGCACATGCCCGGGTTGCAGGATCGATCAATGACTCTCTCATCATTGATGTTTCTATCTCTCTCTATCACTCTCCTTTCCTCTCTCTGAAATCAATAAAGATATATTAAAAAACAAACAAAAAATAATGTTAACTTGTAATACCTTGGCAAAGTATCTCTTCAAAACAAGCATCAAGTAAAATACAGCGTGTGAGAGTTTTTTGAATTTTACAGAAATTGTGAGAGTTTGTGCCATAAAAACAGTGTAGCCTGTGGCCTTTTGCTTCTAGATATACTAACATTTTTTTAAATGTCTACTTAAAAATTTGAAATAGTTAAACATTTATAAAAATCAGTAACATTGATTTTGTGCCCATTTTACACTTGAACCAAGGCTTCCCATTCACTCATCAGGCCCCAAAGCTGACCACTCACTGTTTGCTGCACTGAATCCATCGGTCTCCATCCTTCCCACAGTTTCCCTTCTCCGTGCCTTCTGTGTTTAGCTTTTCGTAGCAGAACTTGTCAGAACCTGAAGCCTCTTTTGGAGATAGCAAGAGAAGAAATTTTATTTTAGTTCTAGTCGTTATCTATAACCAGTAATGTGCCAATAAATGTTTGACGATGGATTTTCAAAAAAAAAAAAAAATCCTAATTTGCATCATTTACCAATTTCCATGGTGTAAATACCATTGTGTCAATTTCCATGATGTGATACATGGCTAATTTCAAGGTACCAGTGTGATGTCAAATGGCTTCTAAAATTCCTAAAATTTTAACTCTTGGAAGTTAATATAAGACAGTTCCAACACACCACTACTTTTAACTTGAGAAACAAATTTATTCCCAATTCTTGCTGGTGGGTTTAAGGATAGGAGGTAGGAATGATCATCAGCAGAAATTAGGGAACTGGCACACAGAAAACTAATAAACATTCTTAGTCCTGTTTTATATTAATGTTAGGAGATATTATAAAGGCTTAGCCAATTGAGATTTTTTACGTTGGCACTTGGGTTTTGACATTTAAACCTTTTAAAAGAAATATTATCTTTCCTCTGTCAAAACTGAAGCACCAGAAGTAAATCTTTCAGTTAGATGGTATTTGCCAAACACTGAAATCACTGTGCAAGGGTTCTATTCCCCTTGTGTGCTTTCTGTTTCTTTGGGGGTGACCAGCCTTAGCCAGTATAGCAGACCCATTTCTCTCTCCACTAGTCGGGCCCTCATGAACTGAAGTTCACTGGAGAGGCACTGCAAATTTCAGAAGATAACACATGTATTAACATTCAGGGAACATACTGAGAATCATGCCCATGTACCCAAATCTCTATGTCTGCACTTTAGGCAGTACCTGCATTTCTTCACCTCAAACTGAGGATAGCAAATTACAGAATTTAAAAAATAAGGGCTAGAACTTTCCTGGGGTAAAAGAACAGAAAGCTAACTTTGGGGAGTAAATGTTAAATCCAAGATACAAAATAAATGACGCAGGTGGCTGGGTAACGAACATGACCACCGCACTCAACCCGATCTTTCCAAGTGGATGCACTGTCCCTTCTGTTACAGCCACAGGCACTGAGTGGCACTGCTTGGTTCTGATGACAAGTCCCCCGGGATGATGTCATCTGTGGTTCTGTGACTAAGATTCACAGTTGTCTTTATTTCACCCTTTTCTGGATTTTTTAAACAGTATCACTCCAAGCTACACATCTCTTTCAGCAAGTCTGGCAGCAAGAACAATGTGTAGGGAAACCTGTGTGTGACCATCAATGGGAAAATGCAACCTACTTGTTCCCCAGATGTACTGACACTGGTTATCCCGGGTCTTGCACTCCCCACTGTAGCAGCGGCCCTAGGGACAGAAACACACACGTTATGAGGTACATAAAGTCAGATCCATTTCCCCCCAAATTTTCACAGTGAAAATGAGAATTGCAAACATCTTCAGATAGTTAAAATCTAAAACTCAGAAAAGACCTCACAGTACAGCCCCTTAAATCTAAGTTAATCATCTAAAATTTTAAATGTTATGGTAAAGAGCAATTGGTAAATTTCTTTGGGTGACACCAAAATGATTGTTAGCTTCTTTTTGTTTGTGAGTAGTTAGGTTATAACATGGCTTTAGAGGAGGGGAAAACCCACGTTATAACAGATTGTCATATTTTTCAGAATTAATGGACTGGTATTATTAAAGATAGTCACAACTCAATTAATTGGATTCCTAATTCTTGCCCTTAATCTGGACAATTTGTCTTCAGACTTAAATATAATACAGTTAGTATATGGTATAACACAAAACAACTCTGGATCAGAAGACCACTGTAAAAATTTACTATTGTTTGAGTTGCAATTTCCTTTCAAAATTACATTTATTTTTTTTTAAAAAAAACCTCACAAACTAATCCTTTTAAAATTACACTTAAAACCTATAGCCCAGCATACCTGATTTTGATTGCATGCATATCCATCTTGCTTGTGAAGATTTGGTGGGCACTGAAAAATACAATCTTTTTAGTTAATGGTCATCACATTAAGTTCCTTCAGGTTATATGCACAATATAGAAAAATGTAAAAAAATTTCAACCACGGTGAATATATAATTGGAAATGTTTAGAAAAATATTACTAACTCCTATAGCAGATTCTCCAAATTAACTCTCCCATTATTGGTAAAAATGAATAATTGAGGTCCATGCAGTGGGTGCTTTTTTATGTTGCTCTGTTTTCCGTGAAGTAGACTAGAATAATAGCTTGCATTCACTTGCCCACAGAGTGAAAGCAGAGGGACTAAAGTGGACAATGAAGGGGTATGAGTCATCTTGTGATGTAGGAGTGGACACATTCAGGAGCTAATTTACAGACTGGCTCAGCTCTGTGGAAATGTCAAATCTATATCTGACACCCACGATGCGCACCTAGAGGCCACATTACTGACAAAGAAGAAACATCCTGTCTTTCAGCTCAGCGTAATTACTGTATCTCTATTACATTTCTGACCTCCCAAGCCAGAGACCTGTTACTAGAACAATCCGAATGTGACGGATATTTCTTTTTTTCGGGTCTATTTATCAAATAATTATTTCAAAGTACAGTTCATTTTCAACCCCAATTATCCTGAATACATTTAGTTAAAGTGTTTACCACATGTAAGGGAACTAAAAAAATAGTTCAATTTAAAGCCTCTGCTACAGTGTTCAAAGCAAATGTGGAAAGGAAAAAATACACAAGTGTGACAGGTGAGTAAGGAACACAGCAATATGCTCCGAGTTCTCCCTCAGTTTTCTGTCACCTCCTCAGTAAAGGGCAGTTGCACCCTTTCAATTATTCAGGCACCAAATAATTGGAAGCATCCTCTATTTCTCTCTTTCTAGTCTGTCAAAAAATCCCAATAGCTCTACCTTCAAAGTATCATGACTACCTGGCCACTTCTCTCCATCTCCCCTGGAAGCGCCTGATCCACCCCTTTGTCGTCTCTCACCTGGATTATGCAACAGTCTCCAATTAATTCTCTGCTTCCACCCTCGTCGCCTTATACTCTATAAAGCCACCAGAGTGTCCCTTTAAAAATCCCAAGCCAGATCATGTCGCCTCTCTGCTCAATGGCTTCCCAGTTTACTCACTGGCCTTCAAAGTCCGACATGATCTGCTCCTCCGCTCCTCCGCCAACCCCACAATCTCCCTGACTCCATCCCTGCTCTCTGCCCTGACTGATCCGACCCTACGTGAATGCGACAGGGGTCTTGCCACCCCATAGCCTTTGCCCTGGCTCTTCCTTCAGTCCTCCTGATTTCGGCATGGCTTGCTCTCTCTCACCTTCTTAAGGGCTCTGCTCAAATAGCACCAGCTCAGAGGAGCATTCCTTGACCATGCTCTTCAAAACTGCAAGCCCGCCCATGCTGGCGTGCTCGGCTCCCCATTCCGTCCGTTTCCTTCTCCATGGCACCTGTCACCACCCGGCTATGCATGCACAGCAGGCCCTCAAATAACGTCATTTCCTTATAATGCTGATGAGAAAGAAAAATAAAAGCTGATTCCCAGCCAGGGCCACTGTCTGTGTCGTCTGCAGATTCTGTCCATGTCTGCGTGAGTTTTCTCTGGGGACTCCGGTTTCCTCCCACGTCCCAAAGATGTGCACGTGGGTGACTGGCGTGTTCAAGTATCCCAGCATGAGTGGGCGCGGCGGGCGTGAGTGCGCCCTGGGTGGAAGGGTGCCCAGTCCAGAAGAGTTCCCGCTTTGCACAACCAGGGTAGGGACAGGCTCCGGCCACCCATAACCCTGAACGGGAATAAGTGGGTTGGAAAAGAATGATCTTATGCATTTTTGTTAATTTTTCTTCAATATCTGTGTAGCTCACATTTGTTTCAATGTTTAATATTAGAAGTATTTTGGGTTTTTATTTAGAAGTTTGGTGATGCTTCTATGACAAGAAAAGGGCCATAGGAACTTAACTCTTGTTCATATCAATTAGTGTCTGGCAAACTTGGTTGTTATAGGTCCTTAAAGTCACAGTTTCCAAGAACCTATCAGCAATGTTAGGTGAGAACTTACTTATTTGTATGTCTTTTGTTCCATCCTAATGTGAGCTCCATGCAGACAGAGATTTTGTGTTTTGTTCCCTGCTGCCTCCCCCGAAGCCTATAAAAAACTAGGCTCAATTATTATTGAGTAGGTGCTCAATCACTATTGGCTGACTGGGAAAATAAATGAACGGCCCATACAGGTATAATTAAGTTATTCTATTCTGTATATATCAAGCTGTTTATCAAGTTCACCACAGAAAGCTAACAGAACTAATTTAAAATTGCTAATAAGAAGTAACTTACTAAGGAACACGTTGAGACAAAGTGCTTGAGTTCTACCTCCTTCCACAGATTATCTGACTCTCATATGAGCTTTCATTCACCACAGCTTTTCATTCAACCTGATGGCGACTACTCAAAGGATATAATTATCAGCACTAAAACCCTGCATACTGGGCCAACTACACAAAAACAGAAATCCCTGTGGTCTCTTTCGTCCATCCAAATCCACTCAAAACACAGTCATTATCGCATTAATCAACTAACATTAATTATTCACTTACTCCAAGACAAATACAACCACACTGAGCAAAAACGAAAAAGAAATGCCGCTCCTATAATAGGCACATCAGGGTCTAAAATTAATTTGTCATATTTGACTTTTGTGATGTTTCAATAGGAAAGAACTCATAGAATTCTTTACTAGTGAAAAAAATCTTTACCTAATTATAAGCTGTCATAGCTACATGCAAGAAGATTTCCAATCAATTTATGTTTAGTTTAGGCTAATAAAAGCCAGTTGCTTATCGTTGAAATGTTTAACAAGGGAAATTACGGAATGTTTTATGGTCTCTCGAGACATTTAAAGCAGAAGAACCATAAATCTGCGTACTTTATTCTGCCTGTGCAGTAATATGCCTTTAAGTGCAGCTCTGGGTTCAGTCTCTAAATGCCATGTGGGCCCCACTTTTACGCTCACAAGAAGGTCCACTCGAGGCAGATTCCAACAGTACAACAGCGGTTAAAGGGGCTTATTTTAAACTGTGTCATACTACCATTTAGATGACATATTTCATCATGCCAACAAAAACACTTCCCACATCTTTCTAAAATATCCTTATTGTATCATTCCGTACTGTTTGCCAAGGAGTTCTCTCAGTTGCATGAGTATTGTTCATTCTGTAATAAATTGTGAATTTTAAAAGTAGCTCAGGCCCTGGCCAGGTAGCTCAGCTGGTTAGAGCGCTGTTACAATACACAAGGTTGCAGGTTTGATCCTCGGTCAGGGCACATACAGGAATCAACCAATGAACGCATAAATAAGTGGAACAATAAATCCATGTTCTCTTCCTCTTTCTCTCTCCCTCTTCCTCTCTCTAAACTCAATAAATAAAATAAAGTAGCTCAAAAGCATCAGTTAATGCTAATATCAAAATTAAGCAAAAACATACTATGAGATAAAAGAATAAAGTCATAATGTTGCCAACAATACTGACTCTCAGAGATGCAGAAATTCTCAAAGATCACAATTTCATAATCATTATTAGTATCAACTAAATTCAAAATTCACTGCCTCTTACAAAGCCAAAGAACTTGAGGGCACTTAACTCCCTCTCTGTCAATTATCTATTTCAGGTTTAATCTGGTCATATAAGGGAATTATTACTAAAAGAAGATGCTATTCTAATACGCCACTGAAAAATTAACAGCATAGTTTTTACCTCAAACACATGAGATAAATAAGAACATTTTAAAAATTTAGACAATAGAACATAGAGCCCTCATTTTAAAAGCTTCATTTCCAGTAAATTGTATAGCAATTCAGGAATTAAAGGTTGAAATGGAAAAACTGTACTTCTAAAAGAGCTGAGTACACAGAACCAAAACAATATATGATGGGTATAAAAATAGTATTAGTCTACAAAACTAAAAATACAACTCAGTGAAACAGTTTATCAGAAATGTCAGTATACTTATCATAAAACACAGAATCCACAATTCTTACACTCTGCCACTACAGTATAAGAAAATTACTAAAAGTCCTATTTACATATTTAAATATAAGAAACAGATAGGCATAAAAATCACAAAAGAAAAGCCTAAACACATTTCAACTGCACCATATCCTTACAAGGGTCCATTTGGATTGACCCTCAGATGATATCTATCAAGGACTTACAGAGGTCAGTTGGGAACCTTTCTTCCCCTCTCCTCCTGTCCTTGCAGTGAAGGAAACTCAGGATAACTCCAGCTACTCTCTGCTTCTTTACGCACTTCTTCTCCAGGCAGGTAGAATGGCCGGGAAACTTGGGAGGGACAACGGGGCGGTCTGGCTCAGTCCCGTCATTCTTCGCTCGCCTGCTCACGTAAATCATGCTCGCTCTACAGCTCCCCCATGGCACACAAGCAAGGCAAGGGCCAGGCTCTGCAGGGAGGGGTCACTCCAGATCCAATTTTGTCAATAACCTGTTGCTACAGCCTGAATCTAGGATCTATAAAGAGGCCCATTTAGCCCTCACATTAAGCTATACGGCTTTTAATTCGTCCATTTTTAATAACAAAAGTTATACCCTGGCCTCTATCTGTACTCTGTTTATTGGTAGCCCCTTGGAAACCACAAAACCTGGCAATAGGTAACTCCACTCCTGGGAACGTATCCTAATTAGCTGACCCCGAACAAGAAGCACTCTTAAAAATGCATAAAGACATTCACTGCCATATTAATTATAATAATAAAAAGTTGCCAACAATCTAAATAACCACCAATGAATGCAGAAGTCAACTAATACACAACAGACTCTCCTGCAACAGTAAAAAGGATATTCATGTAATAAATGTGTAATGGTATGAGAGAATGCTCTTTAAGTAGCGTCGGAATGAATATGAAGGTAGAATGGAACCCAGAATTCCTACCAAGTTCCTACCTGTCCCAAGTCCTGACTCTCTCTCTGAATTGTTCCCTCCAGCTATCCCTGCTTTCCTTCCATTTCTAGAAGAATCCAAGCTTCTGCACCTGCTGTTTTCTGCTAAGCTCCTTCTTAATTCTGTTCCTACTTAAATGCCAACTTCTCCAAGAAAATATACCTGAGCATCTGACCTAAAGCTCCCACTCCATGATTTTTTTCACATCACCTTGTTTTATGCTTAGCTCTTATCGCCATCTGATATTTCTGTTCATTCATTTGCCTTCCTCCATCCCACAGAATGTAAATTCCAGAAGAGCAAGGATTTGCCCGTCTTGATCCCTAAGTGTTGGGTACCATATCCCAACATTTCCCACAGTGCTTGACATATTGTAAGTGCTCCAGGAGTGCTCATTTGAATGACAAAGACTTTAAATAACATGGCATGAATTTTTAAAACCATAAAATTTACATAAGAAGGGATGTTAGATATCATCATTAATTATAATGTTATATCATTTTAATGTGAGAAGATTGTGTCAAAGCATATGGGTGATGACACCTGGGAGATGGCCACAGAGCTGAGATGGCAGGACTTCTGCTTCTAACCTCACTTCAACCAGAGCAGTGCTACTTGATTCCTGCTTTCTATATTGGAGTTCCATCTAAATTTTGTTTAAAAAAAGGGGTTTCTGGCTTTAAAATGTTTAAAAACAGTACATTAGTGCTTCATTAGTGTTTTAGATGTGGGGACCAAGAAAGAAAAATCAATTAGTTGGGTATAAACCATATAAAGGGAACTAATTATGAAAAGGAAACTTGGAAGAAAAAGAGATTCAGGTCCAAAAATCACAACAAATATTAAAATATAGTCAGGTTGGAGAACTAGAAATTGCTAGAAAACGAAGCAAAACAAAACAAAAAACAAAGGAGTCAAAGCATATTCACACATGTAATCCAAATGGAAGGATTTAAAATGTGTATTTACAAGTAAAATGTATTACCTAAAACTCAGTTTGCCATACCTGGCCAGAGTCCCCAGTACAATATTCGGTAATATCACACCCATTCACAGCATCCCGACATTCATATCCTCTTGGCTGAAACTGCAAATCCAAATTCAATGTTAGGAGCTAGTATTAATGAATATTTCTAAGAGTTAGCATTCTGATATTCACCAATAATTCTGATGCTCTCTCATGACCATCACCAAGCTCTTTGTATAAATTTGCAAGATAGTTGCAGAAAAGAGGCAAGGCCCAGTTACCATTCTTTGTAGTAAATATGAATCATTGACCAAAGCAATAAATGTTCAGATTTCAAAACCCACTGTCTCAGAGTATTATTTTTAAAAGACAATGTAATGGCAATTCTGCAAAGAAGAAACACTGATGCGGCTTAAGACAAAAGAGCAACAAAACACCAAAATATAAACGTTTAAGATTTCTCTGAAGATTTATGTATACATACCTGATGTTCACTAATTAACTTATTTACTTGGATATTAATCTTGCTTTAGCTAAATATGTATAATCAAATTTCAGTGGTGCCCCTTGGTAACAACATCAGTGAATGCCTACTGTATACAAGGCATTTTGTTGGTCTGAGAAGAGGTAAATAAAAAGATGAAAGAAAGCCTGTTACCCTCAAGCAACTTATAATCTGGTAGGAAACATAAGGTGAGTATAAACTAAGCTGGAATCTTCTACAATGCCATAATGTATAATACCCATTAATTTGAATAAAATAATCAAATCATATAATTCTATAGGTAAAAGGAATATTAGAGGTTTTTATAGATGAGAAAAGGAAAGCCCAGCCGGTGTGGCTCAGTGGTTGAGCATCAACCCATGAATCAAGAGGTCACTGGTTCGATTCCCAGGCGGGGCACATGCCTTGGTTATGGGCTCGACTGTCAGTATGGGGCGTGCAGGAGGCAGCCAATCAATGTTTGTCTCTCATCGATGTTTCTATCTCTCTTGATCCCTTTCTCTTCCTCTCTCTCTAAAATCAATAAAAACATATTCTTTTAAAAATGAAAGATTTAAAAAATGACTTTTCAAAAATTAACTGGTCTCTAAAGATGTGTGTATCTACACACATATAGACATACATTCATATATTACTTCCTTAGCTAGCTTTTTGCCAAAGGTAAAAATATGAGCACTAGCTTTTATACTCAGGGTCTAAAATAAAAAGACCATAGGAACTGTCCCTCTTCTATTCAACCATTTAACTTGGTTTTCATCTGCATTAATGGAGCAACTCTCAATGTTTATTTTGGAAGGAATATAAGTATATATTTTTAAGAAGACATTGGAGGATAGGATGGTTGATAGTGAATCATCAGGTAAATGTTGTGACCCATGGAATTTGGGTAGATTTACTGATTTTATAAAATTGCCATGCACTCTGTCAACCAACAAACTTGTGGCAAGCTATACAAATGCTTGATGTATACATTGAGATACCTGGTTAATATGTCAATGAGAAGAAAGATGAAACTGTGAAGAAACTCACCAGACAGGAGGTGTTGTTACAGCAGGGCCCATCGCTGCAGTGGGCCCCATTGGAGAGAGAGCATTTCTTACAGCACAACCCATAGCATTCCTAGAAAAAGCACTTTGCATGAGTAAACGAGGAAGCTTACCCCCTGGTCATTCAATGTTCTCTCCAGGTGTGACTTACACATAATCCAGATGAGAGATTTATACAATAGTAAGCAAATATTTTAGGAAAGAATTAATCACTTAACCAATGATAGATTCCTTCCTGTCATATTTCTCAACAAAGCATGATCTTCTATGAAAGCCCTTCTCTACCAAAAAGTCAGCTTATTTCTTAGCAGGTACCCCATCCTTGGTTAACTCTATTACATTCATAATGCTCAATCTAGTTTTATAAAGACAAAAATAATACACAACACAGAAGGAATGTTTCGTGATTTGGTAAAACTAGTCTGAGATAAATGTGAGCTATGAATTTTTAAGAGGCAGGAAATTTGATTAGAAGGATCCATTAGGTTTTTCAGACGGGGCCATAAAGACATGATTAATTCTACCATGTCTGAGCTGGGATTAAGCATTGATGAGCAAGATTAGAAAGAAAGGCACCGAGCCCACTGTGAATGCTCGTGCAGGTTTCTTACTAATGCTGTTTGTATTTGCTCTGAGTAGGAGCTATGCTGAAGGTAGAAAAGAACTCTTATACCTACCACATGGAAACCACAATCACATTCCTCCCCAGCTTCTACATATCCATTTCCACATTCTGTGGGCTCAAATAACTGGAAGAAATTAGGGAGAGAAAGGAAAAACATTTTAATTTATCACAGAAAATCAGCACACCAAAAAAAAAAAAAAAAAATCAGGCCACATATATGACCCTTCAATCAGCTATCACAGGATATTCTTCTGTGATATGTTGTAATGGCATCTTATAAATGATGTCTGTGTGGGAAATAGTGTTCACTTATTAATAGCACTTTTAAAAACCATATTTTAAGTGGGGTAATATCTGTTGAAGGATTCTCTGTTGGTGGGCTCCAGAGATGACCTCCACCATTAGAGTTACTTTTTATGGAGATAAGCTGTCAAGAAGAATAGATCACTTCTCATATTTGCTAATGGAGCTAAGGTGCATTGCTAATAAGAATCATATATCTAACTTGCTGACTTATCTCAAGACAGCTGAGAAGATACCAAAAACTGTCAAAAGATAAAAATGTTTTAGTCACAGACAAATGTGATATATACAATCAAGTAAATGAAAATAAGCTTAGTAAAAAATGTGGCTGGAAATCCACGCCCATCACTCTCACTGGAGATAAATCCACACTGCCTAAAGCACATTAAGTACATGTGCAGACATACACATGGATGTACAGAAATCTCTCAGTCATTCCTGGAGCAATGGAAGGCTCAAATGTCTAAAATAAGCCATCCGTGATGAGACGAACTTGCCTGCCAGATAAGCTCTATTGCAACCAATTGTGGAGGCAGTTGATTGTTTATGGGAACATTCATATTTCCCTTAACCTGGGCCAAGATTTCTCTGTGCATGTCCACCACACCCAGGTGAGACTGGAACAGCACATCCCAATCTAAATCTCAGAGCCACGAGGAGGAGAGAGAGAAAGAGACTCTTTCCCCAGCAACATCACACACCCAAGAAAGGGGCATCTTCCACTGAGTCCACCTGAGAAAGATGTGACCCTCTTTCCACTCCAGGAAGGAGAACTATTATAAGAAACAAAGAAGATTTCCAGGATACTTGGGTGGGAATCCCCAGTGGGCAAGTCCAATGGATGAAATCAATAGTTCTAATGTCTGTGGTATTGTGACCAGAAGTCAGAAGAAAATGGAAAAGGGAAGAGTGGACTGGAACACACAACCAACTGCTAGATTTCATCCTTTGGACTCTCCTCTTGAGGCAGGTCACTGTGGCAAACCACATGGAAAACACGGCAGTTGGGAAGGTTCCCACAGCACAGAAAAGATGCACAAAGGTTAAGTAAAAACACAAAACATTCATCCATACATTCATTGACTAAAACACTTGAAAGAAGTCAGTTCTTTGTTAAATATATATAAACTCTTTCACTGGGAGCCAAAGGGGCTTTTTTTAAACCACTCTATTATGCAGTTTTAAAAGAAAACAATTTCATATATACTAACTTTTAAAATTAAAAGCATATAGTTACTTTTATTTCATTTCCAAGTTACTGGAATCATTTTCTTTCTACTCACGGGCAATGTCAGAAATCTAATGATGGATCCTTATACACACATTCAAAATCTTAACCTTTCCCCACAATTCAGAGTTGCTCCTCATGTGTGATGCTTATAATTAGTTGGTGAGCTGCAAGACAGGTAAAACTGGCCAGGTACATTGCAATTCAAAATACCAGTCACTCACATTAATTCATCATTACTCATCTCATCCATTTTATACACTCTGAAGTTTTCAGATTTCTGCTGCATTGAGATGAATGTCATAAAAGGCAGGCGGCCAAGTTTTAATGATGCAAGTTCACTTTTAAATTCCTGTTTCTTTTTCTGCAGCATTACTGAGATTTTATACAAATGTCAGGCATCAAACTACCATCCCCTGGCTACAGCAGTATCACTCAATTATGGGGATAGGAATAAATTATTCTGTCAGTTATCTACACTAGCACTGATTTTTTTTAAAGACTAACATGATTTCACTGTTTTCTCAATTTACAGAGTATTAAACATTTTCTATAGCAATGGACTAGTTTTGACTTAAAAGGAAATATGAAATGTGCAATGTTAGAATTTCTATACCATCTGCTAATTAGCATCGGCCCTGCCTTTTTGTCTGTTGAGCAAGTTCTTCCAAACATCTTACTACAGGTCTGCAGTCCCTCATCCAAAACCTTTATAGCTGGTGAATTCAAGAATTCTGGCTTTCCTGAATTTTAGGGAAATATGATGTATTTACCATGTTTCCTGTAATAGCCCTGAGGGGCCTGGTGCATGCCCTACAATCAAAGACATTAACATTTCCACAGTAAGACTTATGAATATTTACACTATGAAGGATAAATGAAGATTTTCAGTTCAGGACAAGTTTCACTGTCCCATGTATCTTCTGTAAACTCATAAAAAACACTTTCAATTATCAGAGCTGTTTGAATGAAGGAATTTGCAGATAAGGATTATGACACTGTATATAAAAAATTTTATGAAATGTCAATTGACAATGTAGACCTCCCCAAGTAAAGAGACTGTACAATATAAATACATATATGTATTTATGGGATCCATAAATACCTTGGGCCATTTCTTAGCTTGCTGATATNGAGGGGAGGGGAGCCATTGGTTATACCCCTAGAGAGAATGTTAAGGGCAAATGGAATTTCTGTAAGAGAAATAGGTTAAAGAAATATATCTTAATCTAACCCACTATTTCTTAACAGCAGGGTAAAAAACCCTAACATGAAAATTTCAAAGATATTGTAATTAAAAGACTGCTTGCTTTGGGGGGGAGAGTTGGAAAGGGGGTGTAGCTAGCACTGAAAAACCAGAGATTCAGAAGAGTAAAATTATAGTTTAATCATGCATTTAAACAGATCTCAGTCTTCAACATGATAAAACCTTTGGGAACTAAATATTAATCTGACTGACAACAAATCTGCTTTCCAAGACAACTATCTGATACTTGGCACTGTTCTATTGTAAGGGGGGGAGAGGGGAGAGAAAGAGAAAGAAATAATTACACTTTCTAAGTTACTAACCTTTGTTGGCCTGTTGAAAAGACAGGCTCCTCCCCCTCTCTGTAAAAAGTCTCTATATTCCAAAATGCTGCACTTTGAGAACTTTCGGGAATGGGATACCCTGAGGAAATAAAGAATCAATTATGTAAATAACTTCCCAAAAGCAGTCATCAGAGAAGAAAATTAAAACCCTGGAATTAGAACAAAATGCTCACTCTGGACTCAGATGATTTTACACAAATTTTGACAAGGCACTTATATTCAAATTGGCAAATAAGTATGTGTAATAAAGTTTATAAAAATAGAAATTCAAAGAAAATCACAGATTTGGGGGCTAGGTTATAACCTCCTCAGCATTCAAGTCTTTTGGGCCCAGGTTTGAAAGAGTTTTTTAAAAGATCATCACAAAACTTCTTCGTCTAGGCTGTATTTTAAAATGTAGTCATTTTTATGCTCTGCCTCAGTAAAGGGAAGCACTTTTTTGCCTCTGTCTTGAATAAAAATTGCTCAGGAACCCACTAGATTTTATTCTGAGGAGGGAGTTGTAAGGGTCAATTTATTAAAGATCATATAATGCAAGCCTCAGCAAAACAATTCAGATAAACAAGGAAACCCTAAAAGGATGTGTTAGAATATACATATACATAGTTTTTAGTGTATATACACACAATACAAACAGAATTAGGGTAAGTTGCCGTGAATAACAGCTCCCTATTCTCAATCACAAATACTATTAATGGGTGACATTCATGATTTAGTAGAACTACAATATGAGCTTCTATAGTTTAATTAATAAAATTACTATCTCTATGTCAGTGAGTACATAGGGGAATGTTATACACATAGCCAGGTTAAACTAGATCATACACATTAATTCCTTGAGTATATTTGTAATAGTACTTAATTTGAGATCTGAAAGGCCACTTATGCTAGGATGTGACCCAACAGTTTACCCATCCTGATGTATGAGGGCAATGTATGGAAGGAGGTAAAAGCTGCCGTTGTTGACAGTGATCTCTTACAAGAACTACGCAGAAATGTATACTTGAGAAAATACATATTAACTTTAAAGAGTTTTATCATATCCTATGGGTAGTCAGTCCAAATATTCATTTAAAGGAAGTCAAATATATGGTGACAAAAGAATTATTTGACTTTGGATGATGGGCACAAAATACAATCTGAAGATAATATATTATAAAAATTTACACTTGAAACCTATATAACCTTATTAACCAATGTCACCCTAATAAATTTAATCAAAAGAAAAATTCATTTAGAAATTGGGAGTTTAGAAGGCACCTCCCTATAGAACCAGTATTATAAATAGTGTTACCTTCCTATAGCAGTCCTCCAAAAAGCGTGTTTAAAGCCACTGTGTCACTAAACTATGGTACAATGGCAGGGGGACCATGAGCTTAAGTTTCCAGTTTAAACTGCATTTCTGAAAACCATTTGTTCTAAAGGAGCAGGCAGAACGGCTGCCTCTCTCTGCAAACCCTCACGCTCACGCCGCACGAGCTGGGCTCCGGAGGAAGGGCACGGAAGGGGCTCTGCAGGAGCAGGGCCGGGTTTCTGGCAGCCTGGGCTCCTGGAAACGAGGGTAGCACCAGGACTGGCCGACGTGCTGAGCAGGTGCTGACAAGCGCAAAGAAACCAGGAGAGGCACCTGGGAGAGGGGCCGCTCCCATCTGAAAAGCCGCGGCTCTAGCTTAGGGGCCTGGGGCAGCGCTTCCCCGTGGGGCAGGGCTCCCTGGGAAAGGGCGATGTTCCAGGCCTTGGTGCACAGCAGCATTGGCAGCTCTGGGGCAGGGAGGAGGCAGGTGAGGAAATGTTCAAATGTCTATCGGTAGGCTACCTAATTTAGACACAATAAATCTGTCTTAATAAAAAAAAAATGTATTGATTATATAAGCAGTATAGTACAATTTTTATGATAGCAACACATCTATTGGAGAGTTCCTTAAAATATAAATTGATGTCTAAATTGATTTTTACTGACTGGTGCAGGTAGACAACCAGCTTTTATTCTAAGTGTACTAAAAAATTAATGCCTCTATTAAACTTAGAAGCATTTAATACTGTGCTATCTTTAAGGGTTAATAGAAGTTGAAGTAGTTACTATATTTTACACTTATCAACTTTAAATAAAAAATTAAAATATAAAGTAAATTAGTCCTTTCATTTTTAAAATATCAGATAATTAATTATTGAATTTATACTAAGTGCTTAGCCTAAAAGACCAGTACCTGAGAGACTGTGTATCTAATTATATGCAGCAATTTCAGAGAAAGACATTCATCAAATGCATGTATAATGAAAATTTACCCTGTTTCTTCCATTATGCAGCCACCCCAGGATTCTGTGCAGTCACATTCTGGTCCAAGGAAACAATAAAAGCAACAGAAGAAAAGAGAAACAACAAAAGTCACATCTTTCATTTGCATCACAGCTCTTCAATAATTTCTTATTTCTAATTCCACGTCAGAGGTGGAGAAGGCAAAGCCTCACAGAACAAAATCGGCTTCGTTTAAATCAATATTTCTTTGTTCTTTCCAGAAGTATAAGTCCCTTCCTAAGACAACAGCTGGCAAGAAATACAATTGTGCCTCTCCTCATTACCGAAACTCAGAGAACTCAATTAAGTCCTTAGTTCCGATGTATAATGAGAGGTGCCCTGGTTTAGAAATCAGAAAGCCCCAGTTGCGGTCCAAGTTCTCCTTGGTGAAAGAGTCCCACGGGAAGTGACTTGGCCTGTCTTGGGGCTCAGTGTTTCCACCTCTAAAATGGGGAAGGCATCTCTGCGTAGATGCCAGGGTGGTTCTGGGGCTCACGTGAGGCGGCAGCCTGTGTGCTCCCTGGGAACTGCACTGCGCTAGTGCACAAATGCGAAGAGTCTTCACCACCGTCCTGCTCCCAGAGCAGACTGGAAGTGAGAGACTTCAGTTTGCTACAGTCAGAGTCAGGTCAGCCAGAGACTTGAAGAACACTATGCTAAAAGGTTCAGTAGAAGAGAGCAATCTAAAATAGAAGCGTAAATAATCATTTAAATTAAATAATCGTTAACACAGGTAACAGAGACTGACATATTGATATTGTGATGGGCTTTTTTTCTCACTTTTTCCTGTTCTCTTTCTATCATAGATCATTTTAAAGAAAGACTTCCAAATGAAATTTTTAGAATTAAAAGCTCAGAGCCAATAATTACTTAGCTAACCAAACAATTTACAAAGGAATGAAGAATTTTAGGAAGAAAGGGAGTATGCTGAACACAATTTCTCACCCTATCCCAACATCCAACTCAATACATCTCTCAGATGACCCGAGCACTGGCCTCTTCCCGGCTCTAGAGTTTTCAAACAAGGTCGTAAATAAACCTGGTCCTGCTTCTTTCTGATTTTAAGGCATCTAAGGAAGCCCAAAACATCTCCTTTAATATGTATTATGTTTCCTTGGGAAAGCAAATACTCTGAGCAAGATATTGATAAATGAATGTTTGTGGAGATTTGCTAAATGCCACTAGACTTAATACGCCCATAATGTGATGATTTAATATGCCTATAAAGAGAATCAAGAAGCCCCTGGATATATATTTTGTTTCAAGTTTCCACAATACTAAGCATTAGTGACAATTATTTAATTGTAGTCAAAAAGTATAAAATGTAAAGTAACGTTAAGGTAGATCTCCATCATTTTCTTCTTTGGGGAGGTTGGAGGGGGGAACCTTTACACCTAGTGTCTGATACTTTCAGAGGAAAGAAACTTCCACTTAATTCCTAATTAAGAGTGAACACCTCGGTCTTTCTTTCCACAGGATTGCATTATGTGAGTCCAAGACACTTTTGCCTTCCACCACAAAATGTATTAGAATTTATATTTTATTATTGTGTTGGTATAAAGAGGAATATAATCCACATTGGATTTTATTATGATTTTAAAAGAAATTAAAAATTTTCATGGACCCCTAAAACTATCCTGGGCCTTAGACACTTTGCCACTGGAAACTGAGGCTTGCCTTTCCATCTACCTCTCATCTGATCATGAGAAGGGTAACATCCCGCAGGCACTGGCTGCATTTTCCTCCTGGATAGGACCTATGGCTCTGCACTCCCCTAGGTCCTGCCCGCCCACTAGAGTGCTACCCTCCGCCACCTGCCCCCATGCTTACATGGCCCTAACAGGGCCAGCTTGTAGGGGAGGCTTCTCTGTCGTTTCTGCTGGGACTAGTGGATGAGTTTAATTAGAGGTAGGTAGGTGGGTAAGCTGATTCTAAGCTCCTTTTTGACTCTAGATCTAAGCTATTCCCTGGTCCCCCTGTACTCTTATTAAACGTGTAAAGGAGCCTCCCTGGCATCGTGCGTCTATACTCAGGTGGTTAGAACTCACCACCCTAACACTCCATAGTATGAGAATGCTGGTCATACTCTGAGAAAGTGAGTATGATTTTAGGGATTTAAAAAAAAAGGTTTCTACAACCCAAGCATATTAAGAATTACCTTAAGTTGCTCATCTTACAATTTTTTTAGAGGAAAGAGATATACTGCAATTAAACTACAATGACTGAGAAATGAAAACTATGTATTCATTGACTGGGCATGCATTACACAGACAGAATGGCTCACCCATGAAAGTGAGTAAGAAGGTCAGCATACATACTTGGCTTCCTGCTCGAAGGTTCCCATTGGATTCCAAGGTTTTGAGCCAGGCTCTGCGATAATACTTGTGCCACTGCCATTGGAACACCATACTGTTTTTCAAAGTTGAAAGTGTGTGGGAAACATTTGAGAGAGTGCACAAAGCTAGTTATTATTTCTTAATCATTACCATGTAACATCTCAGTACCCTAAGTAGAGCCTCACAGCATCAGAAAGCAGCACATGCTCCTTCATCATTTCTTCCTTGCAACTGGGCCCAAGAAGCAGAAAGCCTCCATTACTACATGGCATCTCTCAGAACTTGATGCTCTCACATGGAATTATAACATACAACTCATAAGGGGCTGTGCCCCAACTTAACTCACATCAAACCAAGAGTAAATTCAACTTCCTACAAACATGCCAAGAGGTCTCCACTGAAGGATGGCTATGAGGACAACCTGGTATATTCTGGTATTTGATCAGGGTTTAGATAGAATTAGTTTGCTTTTTGGGTGCTGTTGCCAACTGTTATAAGAATTTTCTTTATATAAGTGAAGATAAGGAGATTAAGGAAATAATTGTTTCAATTAATTCTACAGATAGGTAGGTAGAACGCATAAAGATAAAAAATTTACATAGGGAGAAAACAGAGATACTGATTAGATACAATCACAAACTCTTTGATATAAATAATTTAAACCTAACATGGGCAAAAGAGCATTATAACTTTCCCAAAAAAAAGTTGTAAGGGAAGGATTCATAAGCTTGTAAAAACTTATCTATAGAGACCAAAAAACAATCTCTTTGTCTTGTACTTGTCTGGTAGATATGAAAACTATCATTATGAAATGAAACAATACCTCTTTTCTAACATCAAGAACCACTTTGGGTCTATTTACTGTTATAAAACACTCATACTATATTTTCAATGTCATTATCATTCTAAACAAGCTGGAGAAAGGGTGTAAACTGGGCCATAGGGGGAAAAAAGAGATCGGATCAGATGCAAAGATAAAGCTCTACTTTAAGAAAATTGACAAAATTTACCTCATTCACACCAACTCCCCTTGTGCGAGAACAGACACCTCCAAAGTAACTCAGACTGCTTCTCTTATAGTGGAATGTCACGCGCCTTAAGAAACCAGCATTAGGAAACCAATGTAGCGACCAGCGTGTAAGCTCTCCCAAAACATGTCTACACTCTACACTGAATACCCCAAATCATCCTCCTTCAAAAAAAATCAAAAACTGCCTTTTAAAAACATTCAAATGTATGTTGTCATAAAAACCTTTACATTTATGTTATGTTAGTAATCTCAGTTGAGCAAATATTAATGAGCCCCTACTAAGTATCATGTTTTGGCTCAGGAACTGAGGGCATATATTATAAAATGTTGTAAAGACTGGAAGAAAAGAAAGTAAGTAGTAAAGGTGAGAGGAAAGGAAGGAAACTTTGATTCGTTTGATTGCAGGACAGAACCTTAGAAAACTGTCTGAAAACAGCTTCATCGTACGTGGCGGATACCTATTACCTACTAGAAAATATGGTGCCCTTTTCCTTAGTGATAGAAGTTCAACTTTATTCAATAGTTCACCTCAAAAGTCTGTATTTCCTAGCCTTTCTTGCAGCTCAATGTGGCCACATGAGTAAGATTTAGCTAATGACTTCTTGGTGGAACTGAGGTGTGCAAGCTTTCAGGAAATCTGCTTTAAGGAGCTCTCTCAGCTGGAGGAATGCCCTCTTGCTGTATGCCAGGGCCGTCATTCCTGCGTCCTGCAATGAGGGCTGGAGCACCAGCAACCATCCTGAATCATGAGTTGACTTTGTGGATGGAAGGTCTGAAGGTAGGGCTGTGCTCTGAGGGCAGATCTAATGACTGCGGAACCCGCCCCCTCCCCCCCCAGCACCAGACAACCTGCCTCCATGCTTCTTCTATAACAGGGAGAGGAATCAACATCACTCTTGTTCCAAAACAATATACTGATATATAATTTAACTCATAAAATAAAGAGATAAAGGTACATGTCAAAGCAAAGCCCGTGGGTACGTACGAGATGAGATGCACAGCATCCGCATGCTGCTTGATACGCTGCCGGTATCTGGAGAATTCATGGAGCATCTGCACAAGGTTGGTGGTGATGTCAATATGATCCTTCTCAGTCCAGGTCTCTACAGCCACCAGGACAACCCTGGTATTGAGCTGCTCCTTGTAAATCTAAGGGCACACAACAGGACAGGTGCAGGAGGAAAACACTGGGTCAAACATGCACCATCAGCGATTCAGTCAGCGGAAAGAAGGGAGGCGAGAGGACAACACAGGCCGTAATGAGCTCACCAGAGAGAATCTTCGCTACCTTTCTCTTTTCCAAGAACAAAAATAAAGAACGAACAATCACACAATCTGGCCTCTCCTGCAAGGCTGTTTCAATCTCAGATCGGCACATTTAATGGCCAGGCATCTCACTTCAGGACAGGTAGTAGGAATGTCAAGATTCTAAAGTCTGGATATAAATTCAAAATGGGGTTGAGAAAAGACACGCTCCCAAACCCCACAGGAGGTAACAGGTTGAAGCCAAATATACCAGCTCCGGGGAGTGCAGTATGGCCAGCTATTCCTGCAGGACTGAAACAGATCGCTAAATCCTTGGAGAAGCACCGTCACCATGACTGGCTTGCCCTTGGAAGCTTTGTTATATGAAAAGTAAAATAGGGGGAGAACCACAGAGCTGAGGCCAAAAGAGGGCAGAGCAGATTTATATCACAGGTTCACCTTCACCACAGGGTGGCATCACTCACGGTGTTTCTATTGTGTCTTTCTGCTCTCCTTCTCTGCTTTTGGCCCGGTGGCTAAATAATTCACATAATTAAGCAATTTCAATGAATGTTGTCGTTTTGTCCTATTTTCAAGCTAATTAAGAAAATAACAGCTGACCTTTGAACACACTGAAGAAAGGGAATCGCAGCATGCCTAAATCAACCTGAAGCAGAAATGATTTTTACAAGGAGCAAGTGAAATGTAATGTCTTTTAAAAATCAATTGTTCAGCTGCAGAACCTTATATGGTAATCCAAAATACAAATTACACTTTGCAAGATGTGATTCTGTTCAATCATGCTGAAATGACTAACACAGGAATGCTGCCAAGTAAACAGCTCTGGCAGGGGAAAAGGTGTGTTTAATATTCTCATTTCCATATTCACTTATAATTTTCCTCTCAGAAGACTGACAAGAGCTAAAATTAAGGAAAACCAGGTATAAAGTGGCTTTCAGAATTTCAATCCTAACTCCATACGACACTCTGTGCCCATCCAGCTGTGCCTACCAGGCATTCGAGGTTATGAGTCTTTATATGATTGGAGGTTTTGGACTGTTTAAAAGGCAGGAAAAAAGGCAGTTCTGTGGGGGAAATAAGTATCATTTAAGTATTCGACAATTTATAAAAAGTTTTTTTTTCCCCTAGTTAAGAGGGAATATATAATAAATATCAGATAAAAATATATTTAGCTGAACAAAATGGCACTTTACATTAGAATGCACAAAGTAGTATGCTATATTTAATTTACGACTAGTCTAATTAACAATTTATTGGAACATAATGAATAATATTCACATCTATGGTGTTCCTACCAAAAACAGAAAAAAGCAAGAAAATCTTAACCATCATTCCCCGTGACTTACAAAATCGGAGGAAAAAATGATCAGTATAAAAGGTCTTTGTGAAGAGATATGTATTTTACTGTTTAGAATTAGTTTTATTTGGGGACACACTTAATTCTGTCCCCTAGAAATGAAGTCTGAAGCATTCCAATAAGGGGAACAGTAAGAAGATAAATGTAGGTTCTTTTTTAAAAAAATACTTTTGTATTTCCTATACCCTTCAAACAGAATTCACCTCAATCTATTAGTGCTTCTGCCATATATTTAAGTCAATAAGCTCAACTGATTATTATTAACAAAGTCGCCTTTGTCAAGTTTAATCTACATTCTTCTTGGTAGCTAATTTTCTCCAATATTTTTGTCCCCCTTAGGCTCTGGTGACAATGAGGTCCAGACATCACTTAGAAGCTACTCAAGCATTTTTGGAATTCCAGGAATAACTCAGCAGTCCCCTGAAACTAACACGACCCTTGTGAAGCAGACCGCTCCATAATTCTTCTGCTAGATGAGCTTAAGGATGGCATTTTTACTTTTTCTCAAGAAAGAACTCAAGTAGCAAGTAAGCACAGAGATAGAAACTGTTCTGTCTTGGAAAAAGAGGTTTGAGAAAACCGGGATACTTACAGAATCCACAAGGTTGACCACAGACTTTGCAAAGTTGTTGGTGTGTGCATGAGAAGAGCGATGCTTCTTATACTGGGGAGGGAAAAAGATACACCAGTCACTGCCAAATCATATTTTTTTCCTTTTCATTGAATTTATTGGCGTGACAGTGGTTAACAAAATTATACAGGTTTCAGGTGCACAATTCTACAACACATCATCTATACACTGTATTGTGTGTTCACCACCCCAAGTCAAGTCTCCATCCATTACCATTTATCCCCCCACACACTCCTCCACCTCCCTCCACCCCCCACCCCTGGCAATCACCACACTGTAGTCAGTGTCCATGAGTTATTCTCTTTTTCCCCCCGTTTTGCTCAATCCCTCCACCCCCTCCCTACCCCGTGCTCTCTATGAGTCTGTCACTACTCTTTGCTACAGCATGGATGGACCTGGAGAGCATTACGCTAAGTGAAGCAACACAGTCAGAGAAAGACAAGTACCATATGATTTCACTCATATGTGGAATCTAATGCACAAAATGAACCGAATCATAATTTAATGGTAAATTTCAAAATTCTGTAAAAGCAGAAATCTCATAGCAACAATAGAAATTGGGGATTAAAAATATAGAATTTAGTGCGTGCCATGTTGAATATGGTGGTGTTCTTATTTTATTTCTGTGTTAGGTAGCAAAACTCTGATGACCTAAAACACCCACGATATTCCAGGTAATGGAGAGGGCCTATAGAAATATGGGTGAGAAGCTTTACTCCAGAGAAGGAAGCTATTTCAGTCTTAACGTCTGTAAACGCAACCCTTTCATTTTCAATTAAACAACCTTCCCAGCTTATAAAGGGCTTACACCGAGAAACTTAGTTCCAACTGGACGCCCTCCTCACTTTAAACTCAAGGCCATACACAGATCAATAAAATTTCTTAGGTAACACTTTAAATACTGTCCATGATATGGAATGTATCTGTCATACATTCTAGTACATTCTTTCAGAAGAATGCCTCCTCCAAATAAAGCCTTTTGCTTTTGACTGCCCCGAGTTAGAACAAAGAAGAGACATAAAATAAAAGTGAAATATGATGATAGTTCATGATTATTTAAGAAAATAAGAAAAAATAAATTAATAGAATAATTGCAAAGCAACGTCTGAAGTCCTACAGTTTTAGCAAGGAGTACTTTGCTTAATACGTCTTTGACGGGACATTTGAAAGCAAAAGTCTATCACAGGGAGATCATGAGCTGTACTGGGGAAAAAGAAAAACATTCCCAAACTACCAAATCAGATTTGCACCATAAGTTTTTAAAATGTGTCTTCAATTATAATTATTAAAATAATGCATCTTTCATAAAGATTAAAAATATTTCTACATTAGAAAACCATATTCTTTTTCTCTCCCTTTCCACTTTCACATTATAAATTTATCACTCTTTCCACTTTATTCTCTCTCTGCTACTATGTTTTTTAAACAAAGAAAATATATCTTACTGTTTACATATCTGATATTTATTTTTGATAATACTGAGCACTAGATAGAAGTAATGGTTCACCACCTAGTAAAGGTATTAAATACCACTGAATTGTACACTTAAAAAAAAGACTTGACATTAAGAAGCACACATCACAGAAAGGAAATACTCGTTGACACCTCCTCTATGCAGTGATGTTACACATCTATTAAGATATATTTTATTTTCCTTCTGAATATTAATCTGTCCTTTTTGGAAACCTCCTTTTATAGTATAATAGTCAAGAAAAATATGAAATGCAAGTTGGTAAAAAAAAAAAGGTAATTTTAAAGTCTATTAAAACGTGATAAGATTTTCATTTATTTCATGTTTGTAATTTCCAAGTCTCTGATTTTCTTTTTAGAAAGATCATTCTGCCTGCTCTGAGGTGAGTGAATTAGAAAGGTTCAAAAATGGAAACAGAGACCTGTGGGGAAATTATTACAACAGTCCATGTAAAAGATAATGAAGGCCAGACATCTGTCTAGGCTGTGAAAGGTGAGAAAAGAGAAGCATAGAAAGATGTCTCCTAGGTTTTGAACTTGAATAGCTTGGGGGATAGCGGTGTCATCTAAAATAATGAGAAAGACGAGCGGAAAGGAAGTTTAGGACCCAGGAACCAAGAGTTCTGATTTAGAAATGTCCAGTGTGAGATGCCTAGTCAATACTGAAGTACGGATGTCAAGTAGGCAGTTGAGTTGGAACCGTGGGACTCAGAAGGCTGGAGGCATAGGGAGTGACGAGTTTAAAGCCATCACATTCTTTGAGGACTTGAGGCTGGAAGGGGCCACTCTGGGGGAGAGTTATAGAAAGAAAAGAGAGCCCCAAACCAAGCTGCAGGCACTCCTGTAATTCTAGATGCCAGATGTAAAGGACAAGAAGCAGCGACCAGTGAGGTGGGAGAGCTGCTGCGTCACAGAAGCTGAGAGGTGAAGAAAATGTTTCAAAGAGGAGGCGATAACCACCTGTGGCCAACGCTGCTGGGCGCGGGCAAGCAGGGTGCGCACAGCGCCCCCTACAGGTGTTCACATGAGCGTCACTTAATTGGGAGCATAGGATTTACTAGGATCTACGATGTCTTTCTCCTACAAGAAACCTTTGTTCCTCACAGCTCTGTGAGGCGGGGTTTATTAGCCCTGCTTTGTAACTGTGGAAAGTGAGGCTCAGAGAGGACAAATAAAAACAGCCGGGACCACACAACTGGAATTCAGTGCCCACTCTAGGATGAGATAGAAAATAAACTCGTTCAGTTTTTATTAAAGAGCTTATAAATCGTGATTAATGAGAACTCTTCATTTGTTAGGTACCTATAAAATACAGTGGTTTTTCACTATGCTGTACATCTAAAACTAATCGAGAATAATATTAATGTAACTGTAATTATAAATAAATAAATAACATATAATGATTTTTNACTCTTCATTTGTTAGGTACCTATAAAATACAGTGGTTTTTCACTATGCTATACATCTAAAACTAATCGAGAATAATATTGAATGTAACTGTAATTATAAGTAAATAAATAAATAACATATAATGATTTTTTTTTTTTAATCCTCACACAAGGATATTTTTTCCATTGTTTTTCAGAGAGAGTGGGATGGANTAAATAAATAACATATAATGATTTTTTTTTTTTTAATCCTCACACGAGGATATTTTTTCCATTGTTTTTCAGAGAGAGTGGGATGGAGAGAGAAATATCAATGTGAGAGAGACACACTGGTTGGTTGCCTCCCACACCCACCTAATCAGGGCCAGGGATTGAGCCTACAACTGAGGCATGTGCCTTTGGCTGAAATTGAACCCAGGACCCGTCAGTCCTCTGGCCAACATTCTAACCACTGAGCCAAATCAACTAGGGCTATATAGTGATTTTTAAATTTAAAAAAAAAAAAAAGGTTTAATTGAAAAATAGCTGAGTTACTACATTTTCACTTACTGACTTACACATAGATAGAGCAAAAATGTAAGCAAAGCATTTGTTTCTCATGCACTTTAAAATATTTCAACCTTTTCTATTAGAATAAGGTTTTTAATATTTATGTTTAGATTACTGGCTCAAAGAAGTATTTGCTGACCCTTATCAAGACTATAATTGGCTCACAAATTAGGGTCCGCCAGCCAGCATCTAAGACGCTTTCTACAAAATTGAGGAATTTTTTTTTTTTTTGGTTTAATGAAATCCACTGATAATATGATGCTTGATCAAAATAAGATATCAGCATTTCTTTCAGGAAGCCAATATTAGGTTACTCTGAATTAAAGAGGTAAGCTTGAATAAATGGAGGGAAATATTTCTATTCCCTGCTTGAATGAGAACTACTTTTGTCTACAAAGAAAAATGTCCAATCTCCATTTATGATAAAACTTACTCTCACAGGTTCTGATTACTGAAAATAATTTACATTTAAAGTGCCAAATTTGCCTTTTCTT